CTGTCTGTAACTCCAGTCCCAGGGGATCCAATAGCCTCTTCTGACCCCCATGGGCACTGTACGACACAGGTGCACTTACCTTCATGCAGACAATACACACATACACATAAAAATAAATAAATAAATAAATAATTAAAAAAAACGTATATTTGGGAACATTTCAATAGCAGTTCTGAGTTCCTCTGCAAGAAAGAAATCCTAATGCATAGGTGAAGCCTTTGACGTCTGATTTGAACTCCTTGCTAGAGTTCAGTTCTTACTAATTTTCTCACACAGGATTAATTATTCTAAAACTAAACTGTTGCTAATGATCTGATGTTAACTGATCCTGCCCAAATCCAAAGAGAAATTCCAATTAAAGTCAAGCCAGCTGGGTGCACACCTGTAATCCCAGGACTCAGGAGACAGAGACAGGAAGATCACAAGTTCTAGGCCAGCCTGGTCAACACAGGGAGTTCCAAGTCAGCCAGAATTGCATGGTAAGACCCTGACTCAATCAAACAATCAATAATTAAATTAAAAAATAAAGTCAAATAATGATTTCCTACTAAAAACATAGCACTATGATTTGTAAAGTATAAGTAAATAAGTAATGGTTTTGTACTAAAAACATAGCACTATGATTTGTGAACTATTATATAACCTGTTTGGGGACCAGCAAGATGGCTCAGCAAGTAAAAGTACCTGCCACCAATCTTGATGGCCTGAGTTCGATTCTGCAGAACCCACATGATAGGAGAGAAACTACTCCCACAAATTATCTTCTGACCACCACACTCTCTGGACATCTGTATATGTTGCCCATGCCTGCACAACACAAATAAATACAAAAAACTAGTTAGTCCTGGTTACAACAATCAAATATATACTAGCAATATGTGAGAGGCACACATACTAGGAAGAATGTATCATTGGGCAAATAGTATTTAATGATAGCATAATGTCTTTAAAAGGCATCTGGTCAAACAGTATAGGTCATGAGTTGAAACCCAGTTCTATCACCTCTTTGTTTGGCTTTGGCGTTGACACTTGATGGTTCTTGGCCTCACTTAACTCTTCCATAAAAAGAAGGCATTGAGCAGGAATGACCAGCAACAAAATAAAGAGAGACTGAAGAGCAAAAATGAAGAATGAACTTCTGAGGTGGGTGAGGAATCCAAGAACAAGTATCCACCTTGGGTATTCAGTAGAAGACACTGTTATAATAGCACTCAGGGAATCTGAGAAGTCATTTTAGCTTCTCACACACCAGGAGATGGGAAATAATGTCTAGAATGTAAGATTTAAAAAAAAAAAACAAAAAAAAAAAAACAACTGTACTTCCAGTGAGACACGAAAGCACTTTGTAAACTGTTACTGATATATAAAATGAAAACAGAAGCTTGAGATATAGCTCAGTTGTACAGCACTTGCCTACCATGCTGAAAGCCCCAGGTTCAATCCTCAGCACCATGCAAAGCAGAAGGAAACCAGGAATTACAGAGAAATAACATTGTCACAATCAAAATGAACATTCTTTTTTAAACTTTTTAAAAACTTTTTTAAAATATTATTTTTATTTTATGTATATAAGTATATTGCTTGCATGTGTGTAAATGCACCTATGTCATGCAGTGCCGGTGGAGGTCAGAAGAAGGCTTCAGATCTCCTGGAACTGGAGTTACAGAGGGTTGTTAGCCACCATGTGGGTGCTGGGAACTGAACCCAGGTCCTCTGCAAGAGGACCACTGAGCTATCACTCCAGTCCAAAATGGACATCCTTAAACTAGTAGTATAACTCCATGGTAGATCACCTACCTAGCATGTGAGGTCCTGAGTTTGAGCCCTAGCACTGAAATCCTGGTTGCCAAAAATCAGCAATGATGTCTCAAATTTATGAAGTACATAACCAGGATTGATTATTCTGAGTATAAGTTGTTACATGTGCAATGTGTTTTGTGAAATATTTAGATATATTAGTATCTTATAAGATATCTTAATAAGGACTGGAGAGATGGCTTAGTGGTAGCTAACAACCACCTGTATCTCCAGTTCCAGAGGATCCAGTGTCCTCTTCTGGCCTCTGTGTGTACCAGGCATGCATACAGTGCACATACATATATGCAGCCACTCACGTATACACATTAAATAAAAGTAAATCTTTTAAAAAAATAATAAAGTTACCTTTTAAAAAGATATCTTAATAAGACATTAGCATATATTAATTAGATAATCATATAAACAAGATATTTGGCAAATAATTTTTAATTGAAAACAACTTTTTTTTTCAGTCTTTTTGAGACAGGGTCTCTCTGTGGCCTCATCTGGCCTGGAGCTCCCTATGTTGACCAAGCTGGCCTTGAACTCACAGAGATCTGCCTGCCTCTCCCTAGTGCTGAGATTAAAGGTGTGCACCACTACATCTGGCTGAAAACAACTTTCTTTAAGGTCTCTATTTCTCTGGCTGGCCTGTAGACCAGACTGGACTTTAACTCAGAGATCCTCCTGCCTCTGCTGGGATTAAAGAGGTGTGCCACTATAGCCAGCCCCAGCAACCACATGCCTGACACTTTCAAGCATTTAATATATATTTATCTAACAAATTGTTGAATGAGTACTTAACTACCTAGTATTAGTTTTCCAGATAACTGGAACTATCATTAAGTACCAAGTCTCTTATTTGTAATTAAATGCTTTCATGGAAAATCCTTCATGTATGTGTAAGTGTATCTATGTGTATATGCATAAGTGTAAGATATAAGTACATGAGGTGTATGCACAGGTATATGTGGAGGTACACATGCCTATACACATGCAGAAGCCAAAGGAAGATGTCAGATATCCTGATCTGTCACTCTTTGCTTTATTCTTTTAAACAGGGTCTCTCAGTGAACCTGGAGCTAGGCTGGGGCCAGCAAACCCCAGGGATCCTCCTGTCTCCATCCACACCACAGCACTGGAGTTACAGATGTGCGCCTGAACATACCCCACTTTTTATGGGTGCTGGGATCCAAACTCAGGTCCTCAGGTTTACACAGCAAGCACTTAGCCACTGAGACCTCTCTCCAGCCCCTGAAAATTTGTCTGTTGTGGTTTTCATGATATGCATGTCATGCTCAAAGAATATGAAGATCAATGAGTTTGGAGAAATCTTTCAATATTGAATTCTACCTTTTGAAAATATCTGAAGGAATTAGTAGAAATCCATTTAAGAAGAATCTTGAAAGGAAATCAATGTATTTTAGGTAATTGAGGTGATTTAAGCATTTACATGTGAAATAATTTTCACATTTCCAAAGAGTCAAAAACGATAAGTGACAAGGTATTTAAGAGTAGTTACCATAGCAGCAAAAGAAATATTTAGCCTGTCCATCAGAGTGCTGCCACCACACCTTACTGTCTGCTTTTAGTTATTGTTTCTGTATTTGTTTTATTTGGGGGGTGAGGTAAAATGAGGAAACAAGAAAAATAAAATCTGAGTCCTTTGGGAGATTAGGATCAAGCAGCTAACTCTTAACTATTAGTCCCTTCTGAAGGGGGAGGGAGATCAATAGCTGTCCTACAAACCAGCTTGAGGGCTCATTAGGGAAGTAAAAGAGTAACAGATGACTCTTCCTTCTGGTACAAATCACATGCGGAGATAATATTTAACATCCAGAAGCTGCTGAAGGGCGAAGGGTGGAGATGCAAGCCAAAGCTGAATACACAAACAGGTCTGTTTCCACAGAATAATAGACAATATATAAACAATATATGCTCCATATAGGATGAAGCTGAGAATGTACGCATATCCTCCACAGTAAAGATACGTTATCTAACACATTCCTGACTCTTTGAGAAGGAGGCTGTCTCTGCTGCCTCCACATTTACCTCCATGCCTAGTATATAGCAAGTGCTCAGTGAACATCAGGAGGGTCGGAAGCAAGGAGCCCTGAAAGCTGTGTAGGAAAGGGGCCAGCACCACTACTTGAAAACACAAATCCCAAAACTCTAGGGTTCTTGCACATACCTCCTTCCACTGGCCAAAATCCGTTCTTCGTGTGATATAGTTCAACATTGCCATTAGTTATCAATTAGTATCTCGTGATGTCCCCTCAAATTTTAAGGTATATAGAAGAGTTTGCCTTAAAAAAAATGATTGATTTTTATTTGCACAAGTGTTTTGATGGCTGGTATGTTTAGTGTGTGTGTGTGTGTGTGTGTGTGTGTGTGTGTGTGTGTGTGGTGTCTGCAAAGGCCAGATGAGGAAAACAGACCCACCACCA